ACAGCAACGTGCACTGTCTGCAGAGCCACAGCGCCACATTAAACCATCGTAAAGTTAGTTTTACGATGGACATTCGAGCTCCGGGGCTTCAGCGGTCTGTTATTCTTGTTCAGCCCGAAGCAGGCAGCCTGATTTCGGTCAGCCACTCTCAGTCTGCCCATCTCTGATGAGGAGGGGCAGACTGAGAGCGGCTGACCGAAATCAGAGTGCCTTCTCCGGAACACTATGTTCAAGAACCGGAACCGAAGTGAAGGTACCGCTACCGATATCGAACATTTGGAACGATACCCAGTCCTAGTCACAGGAACAACCTTGATCTCCTCAGCGGTTGTCTTACTGGCTACGCAAAGCTACTTCAGCAGCCAGTCTTCCTCCTTCTGATGGACTCAGGGTTCATTCCACCAGAAGGTTTTCAACCTCCACGGCGCCGCATGGTGGTACGTCTGTTCAGGACATCTGTTTCACGGCTTCCTGGTCGTCACAGACCTCTTTCATCCATTTTTACCTGCGTGATGTCTCGTATTTGTCTCTGACACTCAGTTCTCAGAGTCTTGTCTGAGTGACGTCACAGCAGTTTTCACTCATGTCCCTTCACAATGCTGCTCGCTTTTTTCGAGTGGATGCTTTTCTTTCAGTCTGACATCCAAGCAAAGGAAGTTTTTCTTGTACAGAAATGTTTCCCTATTCTCCTTCTTGCACTAAAATGTGTGAGTAAGCTAATACTCAGTTCTCAGTCCGACACAAGGGATGCACATCTGTCTATGGTGCGTATCAGGTGCTTGGATTAATTCACGCCTAAGGAGTCAGCCAGAATATGTGTTTTAGGTAGTTTTTGTTCATGTGCTCTTGGGTTCAGATGGACCCAGTGAGGCATAGACTGCATCCTGTTTTGCCTTTAACCCATAGTGTGGCTTAAAGGGCAAACCATATGAAATAGAACGTAGGTTACATATTGTAACCACAGATTCTATGAATATGGCACAGCCCTTTGAGCACTGGGCCTCACTGGCTCCCAAGTGACTGAAGAAAAAGTTGGATATTTGGGAGCAGAACTACAGACCTGTACGCTATTTATGCGATCTAGAATGGGACCCACGTAATGGGTGGGCATGGACTAGAGTTTTGCAGTGTTGACGTGCTGCGCGCAGGGTGAGACACATAGTGTGGCTTAAAGACCTGCACCGTATTTATATAATCTGTAGTTACAATACATAACCTACTTTTCTCGGAATGCTAACACTAGCATAAGCACGTTGTTGGTAGTTGCAGCTGTCTGAGACGTGCACTGATAGTCTGTCAGTGAGTCTGGCCATGTGCTGGTCATTGAGGAAAGGAGGGGGATGGTTGTTGTTTGGCGTGCCCAGCCGCTCTGACCCCGAAAAAAAAAGCGGAATATAGCCAACAGGCTCGGCTTTAGAGGAGGAACAGGTTTTCTCATCTTCAGAGGCTCGAAGGCTGCACCCGACAGTACACTGACACGCTAGGAAAAAAACGAGGTCAAACTGGGTCTTGGCGGCTAGAGAGCAGGGCGGCAAACTCTTCCGCCGAGTCTAGGCGGGTGCTAATGGCTCCGGCACCGCTAGATCTAGAGTTCGCCACTCTTGCAGACATATTCGGGGGGGGGGGGTCTTGCTAACTCCTAGTTGAAGGCGGAACCATCTGAGACCTGCCTAGCTCCGAAAGAAAAATGAGAGCCTGCCTGCGTGTTCTGCTCCACAGCAGATCCGCAGATTGTCAAGGTCGGCGCTGCAGATATATCCCATTCATTAACGTCTTCTTCTGGTCTTTCCTTATGTTGGTATTAATTGAGCTTTTGAGATGTGAATCAGCAGCTCCCAGTTGTAGAAAACCACCTTGTTGTTATGGTTATGCATCATAACAAATGTCCAAATGTAAAAAAGGTTTCAATAAAAATCCTTCCAGCAACACAGCATCTGATACCAGAGGAAGTAATCATCCATAAAAAAGTGATTTACGTCCAGAAAAATTTGTAATTAAAGTTTTCAAATGCAAAATCTCAGAATGAATGTAAGAGCTACTCCAACATGCAGCCACCTTGAGTGGTGCAATTCTGGAGCTGTTCTGGTCCACAG